ACTTGATTAACTTGTTTACTGTACATTGTATTTGAAAAGTTATTTGTAGAAACAATTTAAGACCTTGCATGATGTTCTCTTCCTCCAAAGAGGATTTTTCAAAGTTGCTTTTTTGGGGCCGGCCTGAGACGTAGCGGTTAAGTGCCGGCACTCCAGCGGCGTCAGCTGCTGGCAGCCTGGGTTCGGATCCTGGGCGCGCACCGACGCACCGCTTGTCAGGGCATGCTGTGGCGGCATCCCACATAAAGTGGAGGAAGATGGGCACAGATGTTAGCCCAGGGCCAGTCTTCCTCAGCAAAAAGAGTAGGATTGGCATGGATGTTAGCTCAGGGCTGATCTTCCTCACACACACACACACAAAAAATTGCTTTTAAGGGCACTAGCTATCTGGAAGCACCTTAATTCAAATTTAGGTTTTGAGACTTTCCTGGACTACCAGGATGGTTCGAAGTCAAACTACAGTCTATTCAAAAGCTGTTTACTTCCAAGTCTCCCTTACTCCTCAGGAGCAGCTTTTCGGAGTCCTAGCCCAAAGTAGGGTGTTTACAAGGTTTCTACCCTTGACTGACTCAGGACTCCAACTTTTGCCCCCCTAATCCCACGAAGCTCCCAAAATTGCAGCTTAGTCCCACAAACACCCTGAAGGTAAGAGCCATCCTAAATTCTGGGTTCACCTCTCTGGATTCTTATTCTCTCCCAGACCTCAGCCTGATCCTTCTTTATTATCTTGGTAGTTCTCTGATGTTACCTAAGAAGTTTTTAAAAAATATATATTTGGTCTAGCTTAATTTAGCTGTCTTCAATGGGAGAGTCAGTACAATTAAATTAGTTTGCCATTACCAGAAGCAGAAGTCCTCATGAAAGATCTGAATACTTTTGTGTAAGTTGGCATTAGAACATACATGAGTACAGGGGCGGCCTGGTGGCGCAGCGGTTAAGTGCGTGCGCTCCGCTGCGGTGGCCCGGGGTTCGCAGTTTCGGATCGCGGGTGCGCACCGATGCACCGCTTGTCAGGCCATGCTGTGGTGGCGTCCCATATAAAGTGGAGGAAGATGGGCACGGATGTTAGCCCAGGGCCAGTCTTCCTCAAGAGAAAAGGGGAGGAATGGCAGATGTTAGCTCAGGGCTAGTCCTCCTTACAAAAAAAAAAAAAAAATTAATTAAAAAAAAAAATACCTGAGTAGGCACAGCAGGATTTAGACTATTTACATTCTGCCAGTTGTCTTATTGATGACTTGATTTACCAAAGAGCAGCAGTTCTTAAATCTTAATTTGCATCCAAATCTCCAAGAATCTGATTAGGGCCCAGCCCCATGGCCTAGTGGTTAAGTTTGGCACACTCCCCTTCGGTGGCCCCCGTTCGGTTCCCAGGTGCTGACCTATACCACTCGTCAGCAGCCATGCTGTGGTGGTGACGCACAAACAAAATAGAGGAAGATTGGCACAGATGTTAGCTCAGGGCCACTCTTCCTCACCAAAAAAAGAAAAAAAGAATCTGATTAAATGCAGATTCTGATTCCACAGATCTGGGATCTGGGGTGAGGAACGAGAATCTGCAAGAAGCTCCTGCTGACCCTTGAGTAACAGGACCCTACACTCACCTGGTCCTGAGTCCCTAACCTGCCCAGGGGAAAGCGAGTTGACTCTGGAGTCTGTTCGTTACACATGGAAGGCAGAAGAGAGCGTTGGCCCTGCATTTTCTTCCCAGCTTGTTGAGAACTGGCAATATGTTTTAAGGCTTGTTTCAGCTATTGTATAAAATGCTAAGAGACCCCTTGGTTTGTAATTTGGATACTCTTCAAATATCAGATCTGGTCCAACCACCTCATTTAGAAAATGGGGAAACTAAAGGAACTGAGCGGTTATGTGACTTTGTTCCCATTACCAACAACCAATGGCCGCTATCTGGGTTTCCAGTTTGGTGCTCTGTTATGCTAAATAGCCTCTCCATTCCAGAAATCCTTAGCACACTTATATTCTTTTGGAAAACAAATGGCAAATAATAGTTAACGTGTTGCCTAGATCCAATATCTTTCTGGAACCTGAACCAAAAGTAAAAAAAGGAGTTGTGAGGCAGGAGGCTGACTCAATACTATAGGGCTTCATTCTTTGAGAAACAAGTTGGAAAATAAATAAATATAAGTAATGTAAATAAATAAATAGCCTCTGTTAGCCTCCAGGATCTAATACAGTGGCAGATCATTGATAAGCCTCTATTGAAATCATGAAAAAAAAAAGGATCAAACAGGGGATCATAATAGAGCACACAGAAAAGCAAGTTGATATTGGGACAGGGGAAGGATTCCACTAACACACATTTTGAAAACACTAATTACAAGACTCACAAGGCTGCTCTGCTATGCTTGACAGGCTCAGCACAAGATGTTTTCCCCTGCTTGAAACTTTGACTCTGACTCCATTCCCTGTTCTCTTCTCTAAGAGGTTTGCTCTAAACGCATGGAAATTGCTAAAAAGGAAGCACGGCAAGGCAGAATTGGAGGCCATCACCTGCTATGTAACACTTTATCCTCCACACAAGTAGCCAGATACTAAGAAAGCACTTATGGTCACATGTCACCACTAATTTGGGGTGGGAAGATAAGCAAAATATCAGGACTTATTGCCTTTGAGAAAAATAGGCACGAATTCTCTTTTATGAATTGGAAACGGAGAGTAAATGAGATTCAGATTGAAGGGTAGCAGAATATGCCACCCCAAAATATACCACTTTGGCATACTGATTATTTTGACAATTGGGAAGAAGCAGATAGAAAAGCTCTCTGCCCTCCCCCATTTGCCTAAAAGCGGGACACAAATTTGTAAAGGTGTCTCCCTGCCTCTCTGTACCAAGATGGACAGAAGTTAGGGAGATAACTCTAGTCTCTTACCAGCCTGTAGATGGCACCAGAAGAATCTACATTATAGTAAACTTTACTAACTAGCCCTTATTTTTCATCAGTTCCCCCACATATTTACCTTCCCACAATTTGCCACCCCTAGAAACACAAACTCTTTTTCTTTGTCTTGTCATATCTCTCCAGAATTATTACTCTCTGCTAAGATGCTATATAAGCTCAAGTTCTAATCCCTCCTTTGAGATACTCATCACTGAGTGCTCCTGTGTGTATTCAGGATGCATGTATTAATAAACTTCTGTTTGTCTCTTGTGAATCTCTTTTGTTAGTCTAATTTACAGGGCCCCAGCCAAGGAACCTAGATGGGTAGAGAAAAAATATTTTTTTTCTTCCCTACAAGGTTTTGTGTCTATCTGAATCAGATTTAGCTTGAGAAGCTCCAGACTTGCCTACTTAGTGTGAGAAAGGGAAGAGAGAATCCTGCCATCGGCTCCAGTATCTTAAGAACGTACTGGAGCTGTACATTTCAAAATGATTAAAGTGGTCAACTTTATGTTATGTATATTTTATCACAATTAAAAAACAGAAAAAGAGGCTGGCCCAGTGGCCTAGTGGTTAAGTTGCCGGCTCTGCTTCTGCGGCCTGGGGTTCACGGGTTCAGACCCTGGCAGGGGATACAGATACACTGCTCATCAAGCCAGGCTGTGGCAGCATCCCACATACAAAATAGAGGAAGACTGGCAACAGATGTTAGCTCAGGGCCAATCTTCCTCACCAAAAACAAACAAAAAAAAGAAAAAAAAATGGACCTCTCCCTTAATTTACAGATGAAGAAACTGAGGCCCAGTGTCAGATAATGAGGAGGCGGAGGCAGAGCAGCCCCCAGGCCCCCATACTCCCAGCAGCTCTGGTCCATCTGTCAAAAGTGCCCCCCAACCCCCGCATCGGTGTCATTTAGGCGAAACCACTTGGCACACAGTAAGTGCTCAGATCTACCAGGTCTGAAGAATAAGACTAAAGGCAGGGCGAACGGTAGTGAGGCAGAAAACAAATTCCCAAGGCCCCCTGGGAACCGAGGACACGAGTCAGACCCCCGCACCCCCCTGGGGCCACCGAGTCCCCTTCCCTCCGCGCCCCGCACACCAGGCTCTCGCCTAAGCGCTTCGGGGAGCAGAGCGCATCCGAGCCGGGCAGGGCGTCCCAGGCGGGGTGGGGAGCGGCCTCTAAGGGGGCTGGGTTTTTTATCTCCTTTCAAGCCCTCAAGGGAGGAGGCAGTCAGAAAACTCAGGATTTCAAACGTGGCTCTCCGACTCTAGCGGGCACCAGAATCACCTGGGGGGCTCGGGCGCCGGCCGCACCCGGCGCTCCTGACTCGGGAGGGCCGGGTGGGGCCCGGGGATCTGCTGACGCCGCCGACCGGAGTCTGCCCTGGGAGAGCCCCTGGACTCAGAGACTCCCAGAGCCGGTAGCCTAGAGCCCGCGCTAAAGGCGGCTGAGGGGCGAGGGTCGCCCCTGGAGGGGTTTCGGGCCAGGGCGACCCCTCACCGGCCGGACCCCATCGGTTCCAGAGTTCTCTCTGCGAGGTGCCCGGCGCCACCCGCGCCTCCACCTCCTTAGAAGTCCGCGGTGGGGCAGGAGCCTTGGCCACCCAGCAGGTAGAGAGGCGGACAGGGGGACGGCGGAGGGACAGAAGGACAGGCAGACGGGGGGACGGAGAATGGACATCAGGACGGGGGAATGGGGGAGACGGAAGGACGAGGGGACGGGAGGATGGACGAGGGGGACAGAAGGACAGAAGGATGGGCGGACGGGGGAGACAGAAGGACAGGGGATGGGCGGGCGCAGGGGGGACAGGGGGTTGGGAGAGACGGAAAGACGAGGGGACAGGAGGATGGATGCGAGCACGAGAGGACTGGCAGACAGACTCGGGCTGATAGACCGACAGACAGACGGATGGACGAGAGCACGGCAGGATGGGGCAATGAGCGGACGCGCAGGCGGACGGGGGCACGGAGGATAGAGTCGGGGACGGGCGTACCGGAGAAAGGGAGACGGGGAGACCGCGGCACGGAGGAGACGGACCCACAGGCCAGGCGCGGCCGCCTCCGACCCCAAGACCCGCGGCGAGAGCCCCTCCCGCCCTACCTAGGGCCAGCATGTAGCCCTCGAGGTTGTCGCTGCTGAGCAGGTTCCAGGTGCCGCTGAGGTCGGCGGGCTTGGCGGGGCTGGCGCCACACCGCCGGGCGGGCGGGCCAGGCGCGGGGAGGGGAGCCTTGGGCGCGCTCGCTCCGGGGACCCTCGCCGCTCCCCGCCTCCTCCGCCAGGTGCGCCTCCTCCTCCTCGGCTTTAACTCCAAATGTGGGCGGACCCCAGGCCGTGCTCTGGCCACACTATTTTCTCTGTCTACATATTAATGACCAAGGGATCTCCTTCAAACTCACGGCATTAATTACTGTGTCAGTGGCAAATAACATACCAAAAAACCCCGCTCTAGTGGGCTCAATAGATAGGGATTTATTTTCTTGACCTATCAAGCAGCCCTGGGAGAAGTGGTTGCTGGTGACAATTTGGCAACTCTGTAACCCGGAAGTGACATCTCTGGGATTCTCCTGGCCTTTTATTCCTGCCTGTTACTTCACTGCCGGGACACCTACGTTCAAGGTGGGAGAGTGGGGAAGTACCCACCGGCCATTATCCCTTCATCAGATTTCTGTTCATACTCATTGACCAAAACTGTCATATGCCACTTCTATCCCTTCATATGCAAGGGTGCCTGGCGAATCTAGTATCTCACTTTTAGCCTTGACAGTAGAGAAAGGCAAAAGAGAAGGGAGTTGGGAATGTGAATTAACCTACATTAACCACAAACACCATCTATATAGGCTGGCTCCAAGACTTATATGTCCATTTCTGACCTCTCCCACGAGCTCCAGACTCAAATATATTAATAGGCAATATTAACTGAGTGATTATTATGTGTATTATCATTTGTCACAAAATCCTACTTCTCCAGTATTTACTTATTTATTTAATTTATTTTTTGCTGAGGAAGATTGGCCCTGAGCTAACATCTGTTGCCAATCTTCCTCTATTTTGTATGTGGGTGACTGCCACAGCATGGCCACTGACAAGTGGTGTAGGTCTGTTACCGGATACATACCCAGGTTCTTTACCTGCCACACAAGAGGAGCCAAATAAAACTGGAATGCCAGGCTTATGGCAAGGAAAGAGTTTTTATTTCAGGTGATGTCAGCCGGGAGACGAGAGCTCTCAAATTTGTCCCATCTCCCCGAAAGATGGGAGGGAAGGGGTTTTAAAGGTTGCGAGAGAGAGCAAGTGCTGGGGTTTTAGGTAAGGGAGGGGGAGCATGTGGCCATGCTGGTTGGCACCTTCCCACCAGCCTGCGTTTGGCCTTGAAGACTGAATTTTTTTCCCTTGGCTGTCTGGACTTTTCTGGTTAGTTTTTATCTTCAGCCTGTGTTTGGCCTTGTGAGACTGAGTCTTGATGTCTGGACTTTGATTTCCTGGGAAAGACAGCTCACTCATATACTAAGGAGGGACAGAAAGATCTGGTTAGTTTTAAACAACAGTTGATTATGCTGCATATGTACAGCTGCAGTTAGCAAAGCTTATCTCAAAGTTTTTGCTCTCTTCTTCTAGCCCAGGGAAGATTTTTTTCACCTCTTGGTGCTTAGTTTCAGATCTGCCCCTGGGAACCAAACCCAGGGCTGAGGAAGCAGAGCATGCGGAACTTAACCACTAGGCCACGGGCTGCCCTCCAGTAGTTACTTTATCATCTCCATTTGACAGAGACAAAAACTGAGACAAAGAGAAGTGACTTGCCCAAGGTCATACAGTTGGTGGAAGAGTCTGGATTCAAACCCAGGCAGCCTGACTCCCGAGCTCATGTGCCACCTCTCATTGCCTACTTGATGTCTCCACTTGGATGTCTTAAAGGCATTCAAACTCAACACATCCAAGACAGAAAGCATAAAATAAGTTTTTTCTCCAGCTTTCCTCATCTCCATAAATTGCACCATTAGTCACCTGGTTGCTCAAGCCAAAAACCCACTACATACTCTAGATTTCTCCCTTCTCTGCTCACCCGTTTCCAGGTCATCAGTAAGTCCTGTTGGTTTTACCATCCTAACCCAGGCCACCGTCATGTCTTGCTGCCTCCCTGGACTTGCTGCTTCTACTCTAATCCCACCAAACCATTCTCCATACTGCCAGGGCAAGCTTTTGAGAAATGTAATTCACATCTCATCACTCCCCTGCTTAAAACCCTTCAGTGTTGTCCGTTTTTTTGTTGTTGTGAGGCAGATTGGCCCTGAGCTAACATCTGTGCCAGTCTTTCCTCTATTTTGCACGTGGGTCACTGCCACAGCATGGCGTGATGAGTGGTGTAGGTTCGGGCCTGGGATCCGAACCCAAGAACCCCGGGCTGCTGAAGGGGAGCGAAGTGAACTTAACCACTATGCCACCAAGCTGGCTCCTGTCCCATTTTTTTTTTTAAAGGAAATTCACACTCTCTCCCATGGTTCATTGAACCATGCTTGATTTGGCTTCTGGATACTTCTCCAGCATTACATTCTGTCTCCCCCCACTCAGGAACTCCAGTCATGCCAGTTTTGTTGTGATGATGGCTCTGTGCCAAGGTCAAACCCTTTCCTTCTTCAGGGTCTTTGTGTATGGTGTTCCCTGTTGCTGGGGTGTTTTTCTCCTGGTTTTTACACGGTTAGCTCCTTTGGCTTCCAGTTCAAAAGTCACTATTAGGGAAACAGTCATTTTTAATCATGTCCTCCATGGAGGGGAGTTTCCCCTGAACACTCTGGCCTCTTTCCCTACCTTTACTTCCTCCTCATGGAGGTGGAATGAGTTACCTGGTTGGGGGCAACTAGGGTGACCACTCATCCCAGTTTCCCCAAGACTGAAAGAGTGCCTAGTACACGGAACTTTCACTACTAAAACAAGAAAAGTTCCAGGAAAACTGGAATGAGTTGCTTGCCCTTGGGGCAACAGCCATTGAACCATTTTTATCAACTAGGTAGAGATGATCTATCAAAAATTCTAAAAGCAGGTTATTTCGATGTTTTTGTTCTCCCCTTCTGACCTGGACTTGAGAGTATGTCTGTTCTATAGACCCAAACTTTCCCTCAGGTAGGCTGTTCCAAAGTCTAGACTGGAAGAGTTAGTGTATAAGTCATTATTGCTGCCCCCCCCAAATATAATGGCTTAAAAATAACAAAAATCATTAAGTTGCTCACAGATCTGCAATTTGGGCAGGGCTCACAGGGAACAGCTCATCTCAGCTCCAGGTGGCATTAGCTGGGGTAACGTGATTCCAATTGGGAGGGCTGGAGAAGACACTTTCAAAATGGTTCAGTCTTGTGGCTGGCAAATTGATGCTGGCTACCTGTTAGCTGGGAGCCCAGCCAGGCCCGTGGGATGGGGGCCAGGTTCCCTCCATGTGGGCCTCTCCAAGGGCTGCTTGGGCTCCCTCACAGCACGGGTGGCTGGGTTCTAAGAGGGAGCATCCCAGGAGAGCAGGAAGATGCTGTATTGTCTTTTATGATCTAGTCTCAGAAGTCCGGTAACATCACTTCCACCAGTCACAGGCCTACCCAAATTCAAAGGGAGGGAACACGGACCTCATCTCTCAATGTCACATTGTAGGAAGAGCATGTGGGATGGGGTATCTTATAATAGCCATCTTGGAAAACACAATCTGTCACAGCTACCAATCCCTCTTTTGACCCCAACACTAAACTACAACCTCTTTTCTTTTTTTCGTGAGGGAGATCAGCCCTGAGCTAACATCCGTGCCAATCCTCCTCTTTTTGCTGAGGAAGACCGGCCCTGAGCTAACATCTATTGCCAATCCTCCTCCTTTTTTTTCCCTTTTTCTCCCCAAAGCCCCAGTAGATAGTTGTCTGTCATAGTTGCACATCCTTCTAGTTGCTGTATGTGGGAAGCGGCCTCAGCATGGCCGGAGAAGCAGTGCGTCGGTGCGCGCCCGGGATCTGAACCCGGGCCGCCAGTAGTGGAGCACGCGCACTTAACCGCTAAGCCACGGGGCCGGCCTCTAAGCTACAACTTCACCAAGACTGTCAGGAATAAAGGTGCTATTTTGGTTCTCCATTTGTTGCTTTTTTTGTCCTATTTTTCAGTTGGTTTAGAACTTGGACAGAGAAATACCTGGATCTCTTAAAAAGTCTCTAAATCACCTTTTCAGAACAGCCTTCTGATATACTTCTAATGTACATTCACTCTGCATCACATCTCTGCTTGCTTCCTTCATTATTCTCATAAATCACAATTATCTTTTTTTTGGCTTATTTGACTACCTTTTTCATTAAAATTTCAAGGGCAGAGACTACGTTCGTCTCATTCACCTCTACAGTACCCCCAGGGCCTAGCACAGTGCCTGCAAGTGCTGTTTGTTGAATGAATGGTTACGACTTTTTCCAAAGGAGAAATGCCATTTTTTGTGTGTGTGTGAGGAAGATTAGCCCTGAGCTAACATCAGATGCCAATCCTCCTCGTTTTGCTGAGGAACATTCGCCCTGGGCTAACATCTGTGCCCATCCTCCTCTACTTTATTTATTTATTTATTTATTTTTATTTTTTGTGAGGAAGATCAGCCCTGAGCTAACATCCATGCTAATCCTCCTATTTTTTTGCTGAGGAAGACCGGCTCTGAGCTAACATCTATTGCCAATCCTCCTCCTACAGGTAGGTGTATGTCATAGTTGCACATCCTTCTAGTTGCTGTACATGGGACGCGGCCTCAGCATGGCCGGAGAAGGGGTGCGTGGGTGCGCGCCTGGGATCCGAACCTGGGCCGCCAGTAGCGGAGCGAGCGCACTAAACAACTAAGCCATGGGGCCGGCCCATCCTCCTCTACTTTATATGGGACGCCGCCACAGCATGGCTTGACAAGCAGTGCATTGGTGCGCGCCCAGGATCCGAACCTGTGAACCCAGGACCGCCAAAGCAGAGCACGTGCACTTAACTGCTATGCCACTGGGCCGGCTCTGAGAAACGCGATTTTTATTGAGAAGCCAGAGTGGCATTGCCTTGCCCAGAATGAGGCTGTTCATTCTCCTAACTATGAGACATTGATTCCTTTGGTGGAATACGACAGGCTGATAGCAAATCCTGGGAGTAGATACATCTTGCCATTTAAAGGGCACAGCACTCGGAACTCTGACCAGATTTCTGGAGCATGAAACCTCTTTAAATTCCAGATGACTAAGGGAACAGGATATGGAGAAATCATACTTACCTCCTATCTCTAAATCTTACTGTTCTAAATATTGGCCTGAAAATGAAAGTCACAGAAATAACTAACAATAATCTCAGCATTTGTGCTGGTTGATATGGCTTTTGGCCAGCTTGAGCAAGGGCCATCTATTATGGATAGGGTTGAATTTCAGTTGAAGTGGACATAGATTGGACTTGCCCATGACATAAGGAGTGATTTTCTTCTCCACAATTCTAAAATGTTTCTTCTAGACAAAGATCAAAAGTTGTCTCTGGAAAGGAAAGACGGGAGAAAGTTATTTGGCCAAATTGGAGCACTTTCTTTCCTTCCATTTGACCTGGCAAAGTAAACCATAAAATTATAGCCAAGATGAGGTCCTAAACCTGTGTACAAGCACTGCTCCACCCAGACAGTAATGGATGGGAATTGACGAGGGGCACTTGTAGTGGGACCACTCTTCTGTCACTTGATGGAGTCTGATACTGGTCCAGCTCCAGCTAAGAGTGGTGTGGACACTGAGCAAACTTCACACCCTCCCTATCTTCCCTCCCTAATGCAAGGGAGCAATGTCATCAGGGAGCTTGGTCCAGTTCCAGGGGTAAGACCTGGCTATGCAGGGGTTCATTATACTATCATCACTGATTTTGTCTATGTTTGATATTTTCTGTTTTTTTTTTTTTTTTTTTTTTTGGTGAGGAAGATCAGCCCTGAGCCAACATCCATGCCAATCCTCCTCTTTTTGCTGAGGAAGACTGGCCCTGGGCTAACATCTGTGCCCATCTCCCGCCACTTTATACGGGACGCCGCCACAGCATGGCCTGACAAGCGGTGCATCAGTGCGTGCCCGGGATCCCAACCGGGCTGCCAGCAGCGGAGCGCGCGCACTTAATCGCTACGCCACCGGGCCAGCCCTTCCCTAATGTTTTAAAATGTCTTTTTTGTCATGTTATCCATCGGTTTGGGAAAACTCATCGGGCAGTTTAACTTGATTTGGGAAACTGTCTGCTGTAGCCATTTAGACTTGGTAAGACACTGAGGCAGAAATGGATCTGAATTTCAGTGCCGAGACTTGAGGTGGCAATTTCATTAACGACAGCAAGAGGAGGGTGATCTTCCCTGAGGAGGAGTCAAACAGAGACCGGGATTTCCCCACCACATGCCAGGCACCGCTCTAACGGGACAAAAACCTCAGCTGGGCCCTTCCAGGCTTCCCTTGTTATGTGCCCTCACATCCCACCCCACAGCTTGGCCCGTTGGGCTGGTGTCCTTGCACAAGCCCATGGTGACATGCCTATTCTTCTCTATACCTCCTCTTTGGTTTTTCCCCTCTCACCTAAGGTTGCCGGAGTTGGCAAAACAGTAAAACAGAAACAGGATTCCTTGAACGTCAGATAAACGATAAATAACTTGTAGTATAAGGAGCTCCCCTGGAATCCCCTTTGACCTGGTTTCCTGTCCTGCAGGGCCTGAGGGAGCCTTCAGGAGTGGTTCTGGGGAGTCCCTTGCTGATGCTCAAAGTGCAGCGCTGCCCCCCCCCACACCTAACTGTAGGCAACCTGGTGGCAGAGGCTGTCTCGTACTTGATTGCTGCCTGTGGCACTTCGCACAGTGATAGTGTTCCGAGAAATACTCCCTGGTCACGCAGAGGGGAAGGGACAGGTGGCAGCTCAGAGTGGTGAGAAGCCAGTGTGAGTCTCCATCAGGTCAGTAACATTTCAGAGCTGGAAGGGGCCGCAGAGATCATCACATTATTTTACAGAAAGGGGCTCTGAGAGTCAAGTGACTCCCCCCACTCAGCTGACTGACATGCCTGGCGCTAGAACCCCGCCTCCTGGCAGAAGCTTCCTCTGCTTGGTCTCACAGGCAATAGTGCTGCAGGGTGGCACTAGGGTACTAGCATTGGCATCTGGGTGTGTTTTCCTTCTTTTGCTGGCTAAGGGTGAATGATGGCTCTTATCACCTTCTCCCTCTGACGGGCATTCACTGTCATAGTTCCAAGGAATTGCCAACATTGGCCAAGTTCAACGTAGTCCTTCTGTGCAAGCTGAATACATCAGACATCACCTGTTGAAAGTTTTATTTATTTATACTCATCCAATTAGGGTGGATGAAAATTTCAAGATTTGGCTAAAACATCATTTTTGAAAAGCAGTATGTTGCATAAAGAAATGAGAGGATAAGAGCACGGGCCCTGAAGACAAACTGCTCATTCAAGCCTCAGTTCTGCCATTTACACCAGTCACCTAACTGCCAGTTTCATGATACAAGGCACTCACTAGCACATGCCCAGTATGCAGTAAGTGCCCAATAGTGTTGGCATTGTGAAGTTCAAACAGCACCACTGGTAAAGCAGGCACAGATTTCAGAGATGGACACTGTTCACGCATCCTCGCAGGTGGGGGGACGCTGCATGAACATTTCAGATCACTTGGGAACAATTACAAGAATGGCAGAGGAATGGATATCCCATGGTCCCCAGAGATAAATGTTAAAGGAGCCCATTTCATGATATAGTGACTTCTGGGCTCCCAGAGAAGTGAATCAGAGAGGCTGGGAAAGGAAGACAGCAGCCCTACCATTACCCTGCAGGCTGACCTGGGGGGATGCTTCCTTCTACCCTGTGGTGAGATCCTCAAGATGGTAGAAAAAGAAAGAGCATCCTCTGACCCAAGGAGATGATCCTAAATCACTTCTCTGGCTCAATCACCATACCTTTATCACCAAGGAGGACCCACAACTCTTATCTAAAAGGTTTGCTGTTCACACTTGTCCGCTAAACAGGTAAACAACAACAAAATGAAACGGCCAGTAAAGGACTTTCCAAGTTCGTTTGCTGCACTGAAATTACATAAACAACTAAGAGGTAAAGGAGTACAATGCATAAAAAACACCAGCATCAAACAAACAAACAAAACACCAGTTTCACATACTTCCTAAATTCAAAATTCACATTACAAAAGCATATTATGAAAAAGGCATGGTAGGGGATAAACAATGGCTTACTTTCCTTTCTCAACAGAAGTCACAACAGTTATTAATATTTATTCCCCTGTGAAGTTCATTGTTCTAATTTCCATTAGCTAATGAGGAAGTTATCTCCTTGAGGATACCTAAAACTATGCTCTTATGCTGTGGCATTAGCAGTACCCTTGGTACTGCGACAAAAAGCCAAGTAGCTTGGTCTATGTACAAGGTTGTTGATCCATACATACTATAACAAGGGATCATTTCACCATGACCAAGGCTCCTAGGAGGGCCCCCACATGCTTCACCCAGTGGGTCCTGAGGTCAATACACTCATAGCCGAGCAGGGTATGGGCACTTCTAGGTAAGAAGGCACCACAGTATAAGAGAAGTTTCTAGCAACAGAACTTTTCTGCAGTTCACACAACACTTGAGATGAACTAAGTGTAGTTTTCCAGGAGAAGAAATCACAGTCAAATTTTCATAGCTTCATCTACTTCTAGATCATTATTTTTCAGTACTACTCCAGCTCTTAAACTCCAAAAAGGTAAGGAGGGGAAGAACGAGGCTCATCTCTACGATCTGAGATCCTAACTTTCATTCACTCAGCAGACAGAGACTGAAACCTACTGGGTGCCAGGCTTTGCACCTCTCCGTATCTCTGAGAAGTTGCTCTGTTGGCTTTAGTAAGAAAAAGTCAGGAGCTGTAGAATTTACATTTGCCAGCTTTATTTAACATTTTTCTTTTTTAAACAGTGGATTCAGATCTGACTATGCAATTGCACAGTTATAAGCATTTTTTTCTTTTGCAGAGCTATAAATCCTTCATCTAGAGTGGTGTAGGTATGAAATATAAATTGCAAAAAGATAAATTATTCTATTTTCATTAGAAATTTAACATGAGACATTTCTATCACAGAATAATTTTCATGAACCATAAAACTTCTTCTATAAAAAGCTATTCCTGGTCTTTTTGCTTTACCAATTGGTAAAGCTTCCACAAAATTTTAATCAGTCGCAAATCATATCACAAGCTTGTGTTTTTAACATAAAGCTATGACTTTAATTATTATTTGGGAGTTCTACTTTGGTTAAAGTCCATACAAAAGGACAAGAAGAGAAAAAGTGTAAAAAAATAGATCCTTTTCCTGCTTAAATTCACAGAAGGCAGATTCACAGTGGGCTGGAACAGAAACAGCGGGGCTCTTCAGAAACTCAAGTTTTAGATTGAGATCATGGAGAGTTCCTCCACAAGCCATTCATCAGTGCACAAAATTCTGAGCTGGAGGAACCACTGGGCTGACCCAGGCTCGCATTTCTCATGTTCTTAGGGTCTCTATTCATCTTTTGATTATCAACCTATCAATGAAGGCTAAGAGCATGCATACTTAATAAAATCCTTGAATGAGATCTCTCATTCTCTGTGGTTCTCTCTGTTCCAGGTAGCATGATGTCTCTGGAGTTGTTCCTGAAAATAAAAAGACAGCGGATGGCCAGGGCAAGAACATGAGACACAACAGGGCTGTGCTAAGAGACGTGTATAACGTGTAAGGCAGAGGCTCTCCACCTCTGGTTGGCATCAGAAACACCTGTACACTTTTCTAAACATTTGAGGGCTTGGATCCCTCTTCCTACCTCCAAAGGTGGAGCTCCAGGCAGGTGTGTCTTGGCAAAGCTTAATAGGTCATTCTGATGTGTGCCAGAGAGAATGAACTATTGGCACAAAGTTCCTACCAGGCATATTCACAACCTGTATTTTGCCCAGCTGGAGATGACTTGATCAGTGGTGCATTTTACAAAATCACTGTTTTAAGAATTACTTCTTTGGCCACCCTCAGTGAAGACTGCCCAGAAATAGGCAAGCATCAAGTGTTAGTTCCCTTCACAGCTCAAGTTAGGATTTTAAATGGACTCTTGCTTTTCACATTTTGTTTCTCTTATGTGGTAAAGCCAGGATGTCCTTTTTGACTTATTATTTGTAGTTAGACTGAACGTTCCGGTTTTAGTGCTGCTAATCTCATTTTAAAGATAAAAGGATTCGCATCCTCTACAGAAAAAAAAAAGACCATACTGAAAACATTCATCTTAGCAAATTCTGACAAGCCTGATTTTCATTTACTACTGATTTTTTTACCAAACTTTTAAGCTTTAGTTTATGAAACAGGATCACAATTCCTTTCCCCAGTTACAAACACCCAGATTGTTTCAAATTCCCAAAAAGGAAGTCCAAAATACCAGGCTATAGAATTTCTTATGAGTTAGCTTCTGCAATGTTTCTCTGCAAAGGAGCCAGAATAACCCCAACATTCCTCTCTTCACTCTCAGAGCTATACAAATTATGCTTTTCAATATATTCTTGGACAACATCTGGTACCAAGTAGCGAATGCTCTGGCCCCTTATGAGGGCTCGCCGGATCTTTGTGGATGAGATGTCATTGGTGATCCATTCATTCACCAGGTGAATGTTGTTCTGGTGTTTCCACAGCACATCGGACTCATAGATGAATTTCTGAGCATCATTTCCAGCCCGAGTAATACATACAAGCCCATAGTCTCCCACAATTTGGGTGATATCCTCCCTCTTCCATAGATTGGGAACACCAAAGGACTCCAATAAATCTGCCCCGCACAGCAGCTTTACCTTTGGCACACCTGGGAAGAAGAAAACATAGCTTCCGAGTTTGCTTTTCTAATAACTCCCTGTATCAAAATGAACGCGTATATGTGTTTTTCTGGCTAGAGGGTCATAGTTTTTATAAGATTCAGGTTCTCAAAAGAGATCTAGGACACCTCAAAAGCTCAAGACTAATGCAGGAGAAATAAGCTCAGGGTGCCTTTTACTCTCCCTCTCTCTCATCATAAAACTAACACAGGGTATTTTCCAGGCACCCATACGTACTGCATATGAATGGGGGGCTTGCTCATCTCCAGAATCTTATCAACTCTAGTCGGTAAGTCGTGGAAAAACATACAGACCTTTTGTTTTTGGCTCTAGGGATTTCTTATGACTAAAATCTTGTCTTTGTTCAGCCCACTTCCTCTTCCGTCCAGGCCTTTCCAGCACAGGTGAGCCCTGCTGGTGATCACAGCTACCGGCCTCCAGCTTTTCTTGATGGTGTCTATAAAACAACAAAGCAAGAGAACATTTCTCTTTCTCACAATGCTTAACCTAAATATTGTCCCTCGGGGCTGGGCCAGTGGTGTAGCCGTTAAGTTTGTGTGCTCCGCTTCAGCGGCCCGGAGTTCGTAGGTTTGGATCCCAGGCATGGACCTATGTACCACTTGTCAAGCCATGCTGTGGCGGTGTCCCATATAAAGTAGAGGAAGATGGGCACAGATGTTAGCCCAGGGCCAATCTTCCTCAGCAAAAAAATAGGAGGATTCACATCTGATGTTAGCTCAGGGCTAATCTTCCTCTAAAATAAAACAAAATAAATAAATAAATAAATTAATTAATTAATTAATTAATAAAATAAAATATCATCCCTCTGGAGATGCCTAAGAGCCTCTGATCCAGTGAATGTTAAAGGCTGGGTGATATTAAAAACATTTAACCACAGCTACACACAATGCCTGACCAGTCAGAATGGATGCCGACCAGTATACACAGTAGTGCCGGGTCAGAATGGATAGTGGCCAGTACACTGTAGTGCTGGGAACTGGCTACAGGGAATGGAAAGCAAGGGAATCCAAATGGTAGCCATTACTATTCTAGGCTTTATGTGTCTGTGTCATAATAACAAGACATAACATTAATTATTTATTGTCTGCTAAGCACTACACTAAATCTTCTGCATGGATTATTTGATTAAAGCTTCTTAACATCTCATGTCATAAATATTATTATTATTATTCCCATAATGGAGGAGAAGTGAAGGCTTAGAGTTGCAACTCAAGCTCCTAGAAGAGTCCCTGGAACATAGAAGGCATTCAATAACAACTTCATTGAGTGAATGTTTTGGTTATTATAAAGCAACTATATTGTTGCCACCACTATATCAGAATTGTTTATTATTCCCATTGAGAGAAAAGAAAACTGATTAATTTGCCCAAAGTCATTTAGCTTATAAGTAGCAGAGCCAGGATCTGAACCCCAGCAGTCTGGTTCCAGGGCCCACTCTTGACTACTGAAGAGTGTGCCTTGACCTGGTAATGAAGAACCACAATGCCAAGGATAAGGTCCTATCAGGGGGCAAGTGCCCAAGCCTAAAAGGAAGGGACCAAGGCAGCATTTGTGTATAGCTTTATCCTGGGCTGGCAGCAGGATGCCCACTGCCCTACAACTGTGAAAAGCTACCCAAGTAACGTGAGCTACACTTGGAGCCAGCCGTGGGTCCTTTGTGCCCCTAAATCCCTTCCCTCTCGAAGAGCTGAGTTAATATGTAATGAACAGTAAGGTTACTATGGAGCCAGAGAGGGCTGGGTAAGGCGGGGATGCAGGAGCCTGATGTCTCATGGGAGAATTTCTGGCCAACGAACAGGCAACACTCTCTTCTCCCTGATAAGCCTGAAAAGTAAGTCCTCTTGATAAGTCACTGTGCTAGACACTGTCTGCTGGTTCAGTGTCCGGTCTACCCTAAACATGTTTCCCAGAGGTCCTCGCAGCAGGTTCCAGATGTGATGGAGATTCTGTTGATAAGATTCACTCGTGAGAGATTTGGAAGGCAGAAGGGAGGCAGAGACCATCTTTCTGCGGCTGTGGAGCCTGACAAGCAAGGTCGTCCAGCGTGAGCATGGTGGCCAGTCTCTAGTCCATTGTCCAGTCACCAACTTTAGGAGACTGGGACAGTTTCACCACAGCATTGGAGGTAGCAGAGATAGCAACAGTTTCCTGAACTCTGACTGCAGTTGAGGAGGTATGACGACCTTGAAACAAATCCCGCTTCCACTCCTCCAGCCCTTTTAACAACTTTTGCATAAGCACCTAAATCCCTTTCTGCTTAAAATACTCGGAGCGGTTTCTATTTCCTATATGAAATGATAGAACTGATACAGTCAGAACCAGAAAGTTCAGAACTCTAAGAACAGACATTAGACAGAAAGGTTTTTCAGAAGCCCTCTCATTTTATACTCAAGATAATATTAATCAATAATTAGATGTTACTTATTCTGGTTTCTGAATCCTTAACGGGAACTGTTTTAAAGATATGAGCACAGACATTTGTGACAAACCCTTATGCTGTCATGGCAGCAGTACATAAAATCAGCTCTGTCCATGACCAAGCATCACAGCTTCTCTTCCTTAAACTGCCTGTCTCCCTTTTTTTTTTTTTTTGGCTATAATTAAAGTTTTATTACCAGAAAATGACAAAAATTGTGTTTATAATTCAAAATTTTGTCAGAAAGTCTGACAAAAATCTTCTTGGCTGATGGAGCACAGGTTAAAAAAGCTTGAGAAATGCTGCTTTAAATCCAAGCCCTAGAGAAGTTGCTCACTGCAGGCCTGTTGGCAGCAGTCAGCAAGTTAGAGGCAGGCACTGAGCATCTCCTGCCCTGTGCCCAAGACCTGGCAGAACTGCCAACCAGGCTTTCACTCTCGAGTCTTCTTTCTAATCAGGAAGCAGCTCACTCTGCCTCTCTCTTTTATATCTAAGAAGATTCATGACAACAACATCGTCTTACAACTTCGTCTTTCTCATTTGGGGCACAGACAGGCCAAGCAGGCTTCTCTATGCATATTCTCTAACAGAGACATACATAGTAACAAGCATGCAAACGTCTCAGAACATAATGAAGACTTAAAGACTAAGGAATACCCAGGCTCTGTTGCTTTGTTCCACAGCCATGTAATAACCTCCCACAGGAAGGGCACAGCCTAAGCCTCTCCAACCCTAGTTACAGTTTTGCAAATGTGTGGTTCACAGACACAGGCAGCACTGAAACATGGTAAAAAACCACAAAAGCCCCCAACCCATTTCCATGAACTGACAAAGTTGATTTCACCGTGAATACCTTAGCACCTTAGCAGTCTCTACCCACTCCTTCTGAAGACTTTCCCACGTATCAACTTCCACCCATTCTGAATTCTTGGTGGCAAGTTGTGCCATGAAAACTCGGTGATGGGCAGAGATGAGTCCTTTCTTCTTATAGGCATCGCCGACAGGAGAAATTATGCCTTTGATAACTTTATATTTTCCTGGATAAAGAGTTAGATTTGATATGAGGTATAACAAATTACATTGTATGCACAGGTAATATGATCATCAATATGGTTTTATAATCACAGATCTTCTTTGTTTTTTTTGTAAACAGGGATTCAGGTTTATTCATTCATTCATTCATAAAGGTGGTAAAATACAACATAAAATTTACCATTTTAACCGTTTTAAGTGTATAGTTCTTGGCATTAAGTACGTGCACATAGTATATCACTATCCATCTTCAGAACTTTTTCATCTTCCCCAACTGAAACTTTGTACTCATTAAACACTAATTCCCTATTCCCTTGCACAGTTTAAATTTTTATTGATATTGCCAAATTGCCTCGTAAAAAGCCTTAATCAATTCCTATTGTCCACCTATAGTGTATACAAAAGCCCATTTCTCCCCAATCCCTGATACTTGACACTATGAAGTTTAGAAATTTTTGTCAATGTGATGGGCAAAATATATCTCACTTATTATTTTAGTTCCCTGATTATTAGGATTATTAGTGAGGGGCCAGCCAGGTGGCGCAGCGGTAAAGTGCGTGCGCTCCGCTTTGGTGGCCCGAGGGTTTGCAGGTTCGGCTCCCGGCCACGCACCAACATAACGCTTGTCAAGCCATGCTGTGGCGGCATCCCATAGAAAGTAGAGGAAGATGGACACGGATGTTAGCCCAGGGCCAATCTTCCTCAGCAAAAAGAAGAGGATTGGCATCAGATGTTAGCTCAGGGCTGATCTTCCTCACACACGCTCAAAAAGTAAAAGATTATTAGTGAGTTTGAGCACCCATCCATCTATCTATCAGCATGCAGCATGATCCATTTATGTAACAAAACAAAACAAATCTGTGTGTATATAGGGGAGGAAAACACTTTCCTTGACCCTCTTAGGGTCCCTGGCTGGGTCTGAAAATTAAATTGACAAAGACAGATTAACAGGAGAAAAACATACCAATTTATTTAATAGAAGGTTGATGGGAGCCTATGCTAGGTTTGATGAAGAGTGGACAGTCGTGGAGAAACATGATAGGGCAAAGGGTACAGCGTAAGTGCAGTAAACGGCGGGATACTCAGCAAGGCCTGTCTGTTTGGATTCATCAGAGATAAGGATGCTCCTTTCCTCCAGGTACAGGGAGGGCACCTCTCACATGAGGGTTTTATGATCTGCTTCAGGGGAGAAGGTCAGAGTGACTTTACTGATTCTGCCCTTTTCTCAAACTCCTTCAGCTTAAAATATCCAATATGCCATATTCTGGGGTAAGGTGTCCTGAACCCCATTATTGTTTTTGGTTACTGTTCCTACCTGTTCCATTCATGTAGTCCTTGGCCAGTTCAAACAACCTGAGGTGCATGTTGGTGATAGGATTAAAGGAACCACAAGCAAGGAGAACCAACTCTGTCTTCTCTGAATTTTCCATGCTAACAATTTGAAGTTGATCTAATTGGAAAACTCTGACACCTCCCTTGTTGTCTACAAAGGAAAAAGAAAATAAATTCAGTTACAGGTCTTTAGATGTCCTTCCATGTTTGCATTCCAAGTAGATGGATAAAAATATTCGGCTTCAATGACTATGCTAGGCTAATTACAAAAACAGCCCCATGTCCCCACCCTTCCTTCTCAATGTGAATTTGCACCTCCTACCATAAAGGGATGCAATCTCTCCTTCCTACTGTTCGTGATTTGCTTTGCCCAAAAGAATATGGCAGATGTGACAGCGTGCCAGTTCTGAGCCTAGGCCTTTGAGGCTTTGTACACTTGCGGTCTCTTTTGGATACCTGCCTCTGCCATGAAAATAAGCCCAGGCTAGGCCGCTGGAGGATGACAAATGGTGGGAGAGAGCTGGTGCTCCTGCTGATAGACAGCTAACCTCTAGCTATGTGGCTGAGGCCATCCTAGCCAGCCAAACTACAGACAACCGGCTCAGACACACAAGCAAGCCCAGGTGAGATCACTTGAGCCTGGCTCAGATCAGCAAACCCACAACCTAACCCTAGACTCACGAGCAAAAATGAGTGTTTAATGTTGTATGCTGCTGAAGTTTCGTGATTGCACTACTGTGGCCATAGTTAACTGATACAATGACATTATCATCTACCAAATGTAACTCCCCAACAACCTACCCTTCAAAACAGTATTTTGCCTCTTAGTCAACGTGATCATATTATCACTTGTAACTGAACAATAGTTTATAATTTACAAACTTTTTCATATCAATTATTCTATTTAATCCTTCCATAACCCTAACGAAGTAATGCAAGACAACCGATTTAAAAATTTTATTGAACAAATTCATGTATATAGATTCAGAAATCACAGGGTGACAAAAGGCCCATAACGAAAACCAACAATCCCTGACTATATCCTGCTCACCAACCCCTCTATCCATCTTCCTTAAAAGCAACCACTTTTAACTTTTGCAGCTATTTCTTCTGGTAGATTCTATCATAACTCTATATTATGTGCTTATAATGCTGTTTCTTAATTTATCCAGTGTAAACAGTGCCTATTTACTTTCTCTTGTGATCTGTGAGGATTAGCTCTCACAGACCCTCACTACCCCCTCCCAAACTTCCATATGCACACACGTGCGCGCGCACACACACACACCCGTTATCTCTAGTCTATGTTGAAAATCATCTTCTCCCAGAATTTTGAAGACATTACTTCTAACTAGATCGCAGGGTTAAGAGTGAGAAATCCAAAGTCACTTCCAATTCTGGATCCTTTGAATGTGACTTATTTTTTTCTTCCTTGAAGCTTCCAGGATCTCCTCTTCATCTCCTGTGTTCTGAAATTTTACAATGATGTTCTCTAGTGTGGCTCTATTTTCACCCATTGTGCTGAGCACTGAGCAGGCCCTTACAATCTTGAAACTCATAACCTTCAGTTCTAGAAAATGTCCTTGAATTATTTCACAAATGATTTTCTGCCTTCCGTTTTCTCTGTTCTCTTTGGAAATGCCTATTATTTAGAGCTGAAGCACCTGGACTGATCTCCTAATTTTCTTTTCTCTTCTATTTCCCACCTCTTGCTTTCATGCTCTAATATCTAGATACCCTCAACTTCATCCGCCCCTCTATCCATTGAGCTTTTCATTTCTGCTCTTATACTCTTAAAATTTCTAAGACCTTTGTCCTCTGAACGTTCCTTTGTACAGCATTTTGTTCTTGTCTCACCAATGCATTCTCTTCTCTCTCCACCAATACTAATGATATATTTTAAATTTCCTTCAAAAAGAGCGGACAGGAAGTTTGGAGTGGGTAGGTAGGGCTTGCGCACAGCTGGCTCACTGTATGGTAACCCGGCTGCCGGAATTACAGGTCTTCCCCCTTGGACTGGTCAGACTCCACAGAAAAGGATCCTCTACTTTCCTGCCTGTACAGCATAATAGTTAAGAACCTATGCTCTGAAACCAGACTGCCTGGGTTCAAATCGCAGCTCCAACACTTACATGTGCTAGACGACCTTGTGCAACCTGACCCTAACCTAACCTTCCTTTTGTCCTAGTTTCTCAGTCTTAAGACAGAGAAAATAATACTACCTACCTCATGATTGTTATGAGGATTAAATGAGACAATACCTGTACACTACATAAAACTGCTTTTGGCAAGTAATAAACACACAATGAATGTAGCTATTATTAATGTTGCATATCACGTTGCTACAGTTCAACTCTTTTTAGTCCACAAAAACATCAATTTCAAGTGGTTCAGCCAAATATTATTACTCTATTGAACCTGTTTTTTCCTGGAGGCTTTTTCTCCTAGAACTCTCTTTCTCTAATCTGGACTGAAAATCTCTAATCTTTCGTGCAGCTGTCATTCTGAAATCTTTTTCATTTTCTTTTCTGAATTAGTTCCCCTGTTGCTTAGGACCATATCACTGTCTTTCTCATTTTACTTCCTAATTTTTCTGGAGCATATCCTCAAGTAGCTTCATAATAAAGTGCACGTGGGAAATAAAATAAGTTTGATTCTGTCTTTATTCTTCCCTCAGAGATAAATAGCTTAACTGAGAGAATTACTGGTTGAAATCATTTTTTTTTTTAAATTATGAATGCATTTCTTCATTGTTTCTAGTATCCAACACTGCTGTTGAAAGTCTGATGCCATTCCGATTCTTGTTCCTTTTTATGTAACCTTTGTCTTTTTGGAAGATTTGTAGAATGTTCTCTTTATCCTCAATGCTCCAAAATGCCATAATGATGTGTCTCAGTGGGAGTCTTATTCATTTGTTGTGCTGGGACTCAGTGAACCTTTCCATCTCAAATTCAAATCACTCAGTTCTGGGTTATTTCTTTGATAAACATTCCTTATTAACTATCGATAGCAAAAATACTTTTGCTATTGTGAAGTTTTTAAAAAGTATTCTTATATATCCAAATTATGTTTCGAAATAATCATTCTAAGAGCTTATAAATATAATTCCAGTGATGTCAAAAAGCTCAAAGCATTTTAGGAACTTTTGGGGAATTACTTGTAAAGCTTATTTTTATAATTTATGTAAAAATATAACAAACGACAATAAACAAATCAACAGTTGTGTGATACTTTTCAACTTATAAAATACTTTAATACATTTTCATTTAATACTCACCACAAAAAAGAATTTGGCCAAAGGCATTTAGCTTGTTCCAAATAATAAGCTATTGTTAGATATTTAGTTTTTCCAGTTAATCTATTAGGCCATTTAGGTTTTTTTAATTTCTCAGTATTACAAACATCTCAAAGAAGAAAAAATGGGTTGAGAATGAATTGGAAATTAAGGCTATAAACACCTCCCTGTGCAATTCCAAGACTTGCCAACACTCAAAGACCTATGTCAGGACCATTTATTTGTAGCCCAATACTGTTCAGACCCAGTTGGCTAGGCTCACCAACTCAGTTTTGGCTCAGACTCTATGCTCTTGTTGGACAGAGCTAGTGAGTGGCAGAACCAGAGCTAGAATTTGAGTTTCTTGATTCCTAGACTCTCTCTCAACAAAAAGAAAAATGGGAGACAAACTGGAGCTGTGTAGATTGGAAATGAGCCCTCCTAGCTGAGGAGTTGAGGAATGTGAACTTTAATCCTTTAGGCAATGGGAACCTCTGAAGGTTTCTGAGCAATGGAGTGGCAATAGGGGTCTAGAAAAACAATATGATATAGCTGTTAAAACCTTTTTATCTAATTACTTAACTCTGTGTCTTAAGTTTCCTCATCTGTAAAATAGGGATAATGACAACCAATTTCAGTTATTTTGAGGGTAATACACGGCAAGGTGATCAGCATATTTCCTGGCACAGTGTTAAAATAAATGTTGGATGTTATTTGTTAGGAAAGTGATAATATTGATGATGGTGATGTTACTGGATTGATTGAAAGAAGCAAAACAAGATAGGAAGGCCAGTTACAAAGTCATGAGTGCCTCAATTTAAGTAGTCAGTGGGAATGGAAATAAATATTTATTCAATAAATATTTGAGGCCTTCTCCAAACAAAGCACAGTCATGGGGATCACAGGGACACTGCTCATTGTCGATGGGAAATAAGGGAGAAGGGTCAGCAATGCTCCACATGGCATTTAAAAAATGAGTTCATTGGCTAAGAATGATTTAAATGTTCTACCTTTCCATTATCATCCCCAGGATGATACCAGGGTTCACTTGGGGCTTGTTCCCACCCCTCCTGCCCAATTCCCATACAAAGTACCCGTGGTATTATGGGGTGGTGGTGAATGCAACATCCCCACAGGACCCTGGGCCCACAGGGAAATCAGGGTGTCGTGCCAGCTACTGAGCATGATCTCCAGGATTGTGGTGGAGGGGCTAGGTTCAGCTGGAGCCCAGTGTCAGTTCCAGCCTCACCCATCTCAAGTTTCAGGCACCATTCCCCAAGGGAGATTGAGCTGTCAGCTAGAAGGTAAGTCTGAGAGCAGAAGGTACAGTCCCCAAGAGAGCTGCTCCTGTTCAGGGAAGGATGGAACAAAGAGCTTGGAGTCCCTCCCTGACCTCGGGGATGAGCTCAGGTTTCCAGGTCTTCCCCAGGGGAAGGGGAAGGGATGAGGCTGGGAGAAGCTGATCTCTCAGCTGAAAGGCCGCTGTCTTTCTTCCTTGTCACATTCATGACCTGTCTCAAATATCCAGCTCAGTTCTATTAATTCACTGTGAACACAGCCAACTCAAGCTCAGACGAGACTTTAGACCCTCAAAGCCACAGAAGAATTACCTTACAATGAGCTCCTATCATACCCCAGGGTGGCTTTAAAAGAACGAGGATCTGTCCCTCTCCGTGGGAGAGCACTTCCTCCGTACCCTTGCAGAGTACATATTAGGGAAGGGGGACACGGCAGGTGGAGAACGGGTGCAGAAGTGGTTTGGAAGCTCTAACAGGATTCTTCTGGATCCTCCTTGCTTTGCTCCAGGTGCTCAAGGACCGGTGTCACCATGATTCACTTTTGTCTGGCCCACACAGCCTATCACTTGCACTGCTGGC